AAATAACAAGAATGATCAAATAAATTAAACAAGAATGATCAAATGAATTATGTTTATCATTTAAGCGTCCGTGGCTGAGTGGTTAAGGTTGTTGATTTCAAACCACTTGCCCCACACCGCTGTGGGTTCAAATTCTGACAGGGATTTTGGATTCTTTCATGTGAGGAAGCTATCCAGCTAGCTTAGGGAAAATAGGTGGTTTTACTCGGGTGCCTATTCCTACCTGAAATAATCCACGGAAGGGCCCCTAAGGTCTTCCTCCACCAGTAAAGCTGGAACATCACCATATGACCTATGCTGTGTCGGTGTGGCGTAAAACCCAATCAAACAAACAGGTTTATTTTAGTTCATGAATTTCTCATGGAATTTGGTTACATGGAATACTTGGACATGTCTTTTCAAAAATTCTATAATTTTAAGAACAAGGTTTCATGTTCCTGATTTCTTTGTAAAATGGTAATTTAAATACAATTATATGTATCTATGTGTAAGTAGAAAAAGGTATTTTCTGTGTTTGCCTAGTGTATCATGATCAGTGTATCAGGTTAAAAGATAAGTTGAGTTGACAAATAATGATGTATTTTAAGGATATTGTGAGATTTGTAACTCAACCCAATTTCAGGGGTCACTGATTTGATCCTGTGGCAAGTTGAATTTCTCTGATAAAATTGATCTAGGACATTGAGTCAATTTGTCAGTCATTGCTGATCATAAATCATGTTGGATAAGTAGTCTGTCCCTTGAGGAGAAATTGAATGTTAGGTGGATTGGGGAGCCCGGCCAAATTATGAAAAAATAAATGTTCCAAAGATATGACAAAAAATGTGTTAAACCCATAATTTGTTGTTTTCTTTTCAGCCCGTACCAAGAGATTTGTTTGAAGAAGCTTTGAAAGAATTGCAAGATGAAGATTTCCTGATAGTTACCAACAAAGTCATCAGGCTCTGTGCTTAAATGAGGAAAAAAATGCACGAACTTTGTTAAATACATTGTTAAAAAAAAACTGTTGAAGGACTCCGGAAAAAAAATTACAAATAGGCTACACAAGTTCATTAAAACATGTTGAATATTGTTCCAAATGTAGTTTCTATGATTTTTTATAACATTTGCAATATTCACATAATGTGCTAGTACTGTCATGGGTGTTTTTAAATATAACATTTTTTCCCCACAACATGACTTGTGTAATATATTTGAACAAATAAATACTAAAATGTTTAAAAAAAGAATAGCAGATACATTGTGTTATAGCATAAGTGGGGCATTGAAGAATTATAGCTTGCATAGTTTTATATATACTGTACAAATGTGGGCTAAGGGGAAGTAATGTATCCATATACATTTGTATAATAATGCTACAGTATGCTTGTATTTGTTGTTAAAATGGTGCCCTTGGGTACTAGAGTACTTGATTATTTTTCCAAACAAATTGTATTGATAATAGGGAAAAATACTTGATTCTGACATTAATTTATTTGACTGATGTTGACTCTTGCATAGATAATTTGAAATATCAAAGCTGTCAAAGACGTTGACATTTAGGTCTGTCTGCCATGTTCATTGGTGCTATCTGGCAAGGACAGATTACCGCTGTTCCATCAGGGATTACCGTATGTCAAATTTGCTCAGTTCTCCTGTCAGAAAGTGCTATATGTATTATATATAAATCTTGATATTCTTGTATTTTTTTTTTGTAAATTTTATAGATTACTTTTCTATAACGGTTCCAAAATTATTTCCCTCTCAGTTGTTTTGTATATTTGACTTTTTGTAAATCGTGTATAAATTTTTGAAAGTTGATTGTCAAATTTTTTTTTTGTATAAAAGCTTGATTGTACTCGTACTAAAGAAAAATCAGTAATCTTGTATGATACATTGGTTAATGACCAAGTATGATGTTATGTGTTAAAAAATGATGCAATAATGTGTTCATTTATTATTTTGTTTATGCATATTGCTTTTGCAATTATGTGACCATTAGTGTTCAAAATGAAGTGTTCAGGAGGCAGTTTACAAGTTAAAACTAAATGCAAACTGGCCTAATATATAAACATATGAGAGACAATTTTTAAGTGAATAATTGTGCATAACATCACTAAATTTTCAGTTAACCAGTTTTTTGTTGCAGTAAGTTTGACATTTACCATTATATTAAGGTGGCTGTCTAATTTTTAATACTTTGTGATTTAAAGGATATTCTATACAATTAGAATAGTGAGAAGTTATCATTTTCACTAAGACTGTATAGTGTTTGAGAGAAAACTGTTATGTTGTAGGATTTCAAGGAAGAATAAGGAAAATCATGTTTTATATTATTCACATGTTGATTAGCATTGATATCTGTTACTATCTCCTTGATCATGATTAAATTAATTAAATGATAATTAGATCTGAAAAGTTTGTATTTAAATGTTCATTTCTAAAGATCAAATTGTTTCATCAAAATTTATATTAAAAGAAGAAATAGCAATATGTTTTGTTATTTATTTCAGTACAAATGTCTTCCTAAAAGCCGGAAATGATCTTACCGCATAATGTTAAATATCCTATTGTCCTTTAGCAAATTGATGTCCACTCTGTATCTTTTAAACCAAATATAGGAAATTGAAACTACTTTGCAGAAATGTAAATCCTGTAAGACAGGTTTTGGCTTCTCTGTTCAGAAATTTTTAGGGTGTAGAAACCTCGTGAACTAAGTTTATAGGGTCTAAGTACTGAGGTAACCAAACATGAAGTGTCTGGCAATAATTAGTTTGTACATTTGATCAATGCCTAAACCTATAACTAGATTGGATCAATAACTAGTGGGCAAATACCGGCATATATTTGCACCAGGATGTCCGTCTAAATATTAGCAATTTCATATTCATTCTATGAACTACTCGGCAGAAATGAGACCATGCAGAACCCAAAGGGGGTTGTAACAGTGCCTGGACTCTATATTAGGGTTATTTGTGACCAAAACAATGTCCAGACCAAAAAACAGGTGACAATCCATACATGTATATATAAACTATAAGCACCGTTACAACCCCCTTTGGCAGAACCCATGTTTGACCTCCCATCAGCTTGCTAGTACAATTTTTCTTTTGTATTCTGTAAGAACAATATTAAGTTGTGTTTATACGTTGGTGATATTCATTGTTTTAAACAAAAAATTTCAAAGCCAATTTATATTTAATTGTTCAGTCAGTTCAACATTTGTATTTGATATTTAAGCTCTGTGGTGTATGCACTGGTTTCACATGCGCTAGTCAGACTATTCTCTCCCTTACCAGTTCCTCTCCTGACGTTTCCTCCCTGACGGTTCTCTCCCTATTTTGAGGGAGAACCGTCTGTATATTTGCACATAAGCAGACAGTTCCTCCCCATTTTTATTTTTATTAATACAGTATTATTCAAGATGTTAAATAAATGGGTAAGTTTATTAATTGCTATAAATTAAATGATTGAAGTGTTAAGATGTTAAATAAATGGGTAAGTTTATTATTAAATGATATAAATTAAAGAAAAATATTTTATTGAAATAATTAGATGTTTGATAATGGATAAATTTATTATCAAAAATGATTAATGAATTTTAATCGCTAAATTTCATACTTTTGAATAATGAAGAAAGCCTGGAAGGAGTTCAATTCATAAGTGCATTAAGTTTGTTGTCAGATAATTGAGGTGTTTATTAATTCATTACTGAAGAATCAAGGTGTTGATTAGAGTAAGATATCTGTGAAAAGGGTGTTGATGTGGAAGTGTGAAATTTATGTGATTGCATACCAGTTGTTTCTTATTTATTTTCTAGAACATGTTACCACCTTATTCGCTATTTAACAAATGAATGAATATCACTAGACCTTAACATAATTACAGGTGTATATCAATCACTGGCCAATAATCTTAACCTCTCACATTGAAGGTGTTGATAGGATTGAACAGAACAGAACAGAACATATCTTTTATTCACCCAGGTACAAGAAGATATCATATCGTACAACATGGGGTTATTACGAAATTTACATGAACACAAAATTATACAGTATCCGGTCAATGAGTGTTACAATGATACAAAATCATAAGAAAAAGAGAAAGAGAAAAGAAAAAAAAAATGAAATGAAATATAAGTTTTAAAAATTGATTGCTATTTAGAAATACGTGGGTTGCTGGAGACGGAGGAATGCTCACATTAAATCAACATTAAATAAATACTGATGTCACTCGGTTAATTTTTTTATTTATTTAATTTTCATGAATCGAGTGCGACTTTCAAGAGAAAACACGAGAAAAGTAGTCCGTTATTTATGAATGGAATTCCACATTACTGTTAATTGGGTTACTACTAGAATACGATTGGCTGTTAGTAAAGATTTCAGAGTTTGCCATTGGATAACTTACTGAAACAAAGCTAAAAATAAAAATAATTGTTCCGTACAAGAATAGGGACATGTTTACGTACAGTAGTGTTATTACAAGTTAATTTATCGTATAATAAAGGTGAATTGGACTTAATTGACATTGTCTGGTAAGTGCATACGTTCATTTATAGTTACATAAGAGTATGAATTGGTTGTAAGCTTTGTAGTTAAAAAAATACATATAAAATGACATTTCTTTTCATAATTAATATTATGAGCAAAAATAACAAAAATAAATATAAGTAAAGATAAATAAAAAGAGGTAAATAGAGAGGCATTGGTATCTTATCACTTGTATAGGGGCCTATCAGAATTTTTTTATTATAAGTCGTATGAAGCCACATACTTTCGAAAGTGTCCTTACGGAAGTTGATGTTAATAGAAGCTTAAAACCATAATCGGATACGGTATTTTCATGATACGGTATTGTCATGAAAGTTGATTTGTATGAAGAGGGTCACAGTTTCAGAAAGAAAGTCGTTCTGAACTTCTTTCATTACGATTACATAAAATGCATTTTCTTTCTTGAAGTAAGGTTCCATCCCATCTGCCCGTTCCCATTGGAAGTCTGTGGTTTGCAATTCGATATTTAAATAAAGTGTTGCAAACACGCATTGGTAAAAGCTTAAAATATATTTTCGAAACCTGGGCTTTCTTTAGAACCATGTAATGTATGCCTTTATTAGAGAACTGAATTTGTGCGTGCCATGCCTGTCTAAATTGACCTATAAGTGTTTATTTAACGGATCTATGTTTATATTTTTTATTTATATTATGTTGATTTCGCCAGAAATCGGGTCTCCCTACATCTGTTACAATATTTTTGATTTTTAAAATCCATTTCAATTCATAATTAGTTTGATTAAGAACGGAATTGAATAATTGATAGGTCAATGTATGGTCTTTTCCTATAATAAGCCTATGTCAAAAGGAAATCATACGGGCTTGAACCTAATAGCAATAGGGTATCTCCCAAGCTCGCCGTAAATCAAATATAAAGCGTTGCTTTTCCTAGCTTTTGTTAATTTTCTAAGAAAGTCATTGTGTACCTTTTCAAGTTGATCGAGATTTTCAAACCCAAATATTTCGGAACCGTAAGTTAGAATTGGTAGAACAGTATGATCAAAAAGTTTAAGCATCAAATCTATTGGTAAATCAGCGTTGTTTGACTTTGACAGAAGAAGATACATTGCTTTGGTTGCTTGCTCAACTACATGCTTTCTTGCATTCAAAAAAGATCCATTATTTGTAAAAGTTACACCGAGGTAGTGATATTTGTTTGTAACTTCGATATCCTGAGTGCCTAATTTAAAATTATAGTTGTGAGAGTTTCTAGCACCAAATATTATTATTTTTGTTTTATTTATATTCACTTTAAGTCGCCAGGTTTGACAATATTCATTAAAAGTATCTAAACAATTTTGAAAGTCGATCGGGGAATCTGACAGTATAATGGTATCGTCCGCATATAGCAGGATCAATAGTTTAAGCATAGAGTCGAGTCATATATATCTTTTAGCTCTATGCCAACGTTACCATACGATTGCATATATGATTGAAGATCATTAAGAAAAAGGGAAAACAGCGCAGGGGACAAATTTTCTCCC